TGTGCGTGGTGGCGACGCCCCGGGGGAGTGGGCGTGACCACGCCCCGCCCTGCCTGACGCCCCCCCCTCCCCCCTTCCACGAGGGTCCTCCGCGGCTCCGCAGTTCAAGTTTCGGTGGAAACTTTCTCTCAAAAGCTCCACCCCCTTCGCCTAGGAAACCCTTGGGTGCCCACGCTTAGGCGGGGGCGGACACTGCCGGCAGCCCTTCCTCACGTGGCATCAGCGGCCGAGCCTCCTGTAGGGCGAGGCTGAGGTCGAGGGGGCGGCAGGAGGTGGGGGGTGTGGCTTGGGGCGGAGGGGCGTGGCCTGCGGCGTGCTTCCTTGGAGACTAGCCGGCCGGTTGGGCCCCGCCCTCGCTCCTGAGGGCCCTGGAGGGTGGGGGGCGGGCATAGCCGGGGCCCCACGGGGCTCCGCCACCTGCCGACGCACCGTGGGAAAGTTGCGCTCCGACCTGCTCTTGCCCGGTACTTTCTTCCCGGTTCTCAGGCTGAGTTGGAGCGGGGGTCTGGAGGATCCCCCTTCCCCACGCTTCTACCTGCGAGGGCCGCGAGGCGAGCGGGGGCGTCGGGCCCTGGGCCGACGGAGCCGCCTCCGCCTCCCTGTCAGTGCGTGCCCGGCCGGGTGGGCGCTCGGGCACCCGCGTCCCCGGGCCCGCCGCGGGCCCGCCGCACAAACTTTGTGGCTGTCCGGAGGAACTGCGCGGGGAGGAGCAGCCCAGGCCGACAGGTTCGTGCGCGCTCGCCTGAGTGAGGCAGGTAGGCTTCTCCAGCTTTCGGGGGTCGGAGCGGGTGCCTCGCCCCCCTCGGTGGGCTGGGCAGATGGGGGGGCGGCGAGGGACCGGTGTCGCTCCGGCACGCGACCTTATTCTGTGGCCGCCCCGGGGGGAGCCAGCTGTCATCAAGGCTTTCCACCCCTCTCCCGGTCGGGGGTCCGCGCACCTGGATCCTGGGGAACTCGGGGCGGGGGCGATGGTGGCGAGGACTTGGCAGAGGCCAAGACGTCTGGGTCGGAGGCGCCCTCGGGCACCTCCTTGCTTACCCAAGACACCGAAGCGGTGCCACTCAGGTGTAAGGGCTTTTATTGTTGTGGGGTGGCTGTTGCTCAATTCCAGACATTCGCTGAGGAAACTGCGTTCAGGTGGTGGTGGTGGTGATGGACAGTGCCTGTGTGCGTGTGTGTGGGCGCCCGCGTGCGTTTCCCCCTGGACTCAACAAAGCTCCCTTGTTAACCCTACTTGTGCGAAGGAATTAGAACTATTGCTTGAGCTCAGGTTGGGTTAGTTGTGATGGAGGCAGCGGTGTGGGCCTGGGACCTTGGGCATCGCGTGAGTGGGTCTGGAGAAGGATCCCTGATTCCACACCGCTACCCTTCTGGACCCTTCCATTTATAACATCCCTCTTTGGCCACGCACTAGGTGTTGCAGCCCTAGCCAC